GCAACATTTAAATTTAAATAGCTCAGTAATTACCAGTCTGATGCTTATAAAACTTGGCACACTAATACATCTTAAGTAGGGCTAGCATATTTATAAGGGGCATCATCCTACCTTTGCTACTTAAATTTTTTTCTACTATCGAAATTTTATTAAAATGCTATTCGGTAATATTAAAAAGCAACAAAAAAATGCAAGTAGGTATCACAAATCAATGTAGATCATACTAAATTAGAAAGTATATTAAAATATAATATATTTAACATAATTAATAAATCACATGACATGATAATCTTGATAAATCATGTTTTAAATCACTTCTAATTTTCCTTTTTTAATTACTTCTAAATTTTTTTTTTCTAAATTCACAAAATTTTTTTCAAAAAAAAACAAAATGTTGCATTTATTTATTTTCTACTTTTTATTATATTACATGGCTCGTCTAAAGGAGGAAGAACAGATACAAATTTGCATCCTTCTTGATAAAAAGCTATATATGCCGGTAGAACTTGCCAAAAGATATAGCGTTAGTATTAGCACAATAACTCGGCTATATAATAAATATAAAAAGCACAAATCACAAAAGATTTACCAAAGACAGAACGACCTTAAAAAATTCATGAACGTGGTGAACAGCAGGTTATACGATATATTAAAAGTGGAGAGTATTCTAACGCAACAGAAGTAAAAAAATTACAAAGTGATTATGATGTAAAAGTTACTACACAAACAATATGATGAATATTTAAAAAAATAATTTAAAGTCTGCAGTAAAGGTTAAAAAGCCTCTTTTGTTGTCTCAATACAAAAAAGCAAGATATAATTTTGCTAAAAAATATCGAAGCTGGAATAATAAAGATTGGAATAAGGTCGTATGGTCAGATGAAAGCAAGTTTAATTTTTTTGGATCAGACGGATGATAGTATTATTGGAAAACTATAGGTAAACCCTTAAAAGATAACCATGTACAAGGTACTGTAAAATTTAGCAGAAAGGGAATTTTTGTATGAGGTTGTATAACTTCGAAAGGAGTAGGATACTTATGTAGAATTGATGGTGGTTTGGATCAGTGTATAAAATCTAAGTTAAAATTTATGTACACAAGTTGATTAATTATTATTAAAATAAGAAAATCATAACATTTTCTTATGTAAAATTACCTTTTTGTACATAATTTATCTATTTTTAGTAATAATTTATGCACATTTTATGTTGTGTAATATGTGCATACAAAAAATTAATATGCACATTGTGTATATAGATTTTACACACTAGTTTGGATGCAGAGTTATATATTAAAATATTAAATGATGACTTTTTGGAAACATTAAAATATTATAATTTTAATATTTCTGACATTATCTTTCAGCAAGATAATGATCTAAAATATACTGCACGAAAAACAAAGGATTGGCTAGCTTCTAAAAATATTATTGTGCTTGAATGACCAGCATAATCTTCAGATTTGAATTCTATAGAGCACATGTAGAGTGAAGTAGAAAGACAATTACGAAAGATTAAATTACCAATTAAAAATAAAAATGAATTATGGAAGAGAATTCAAAATACATAGAATAGTATTGAAATTGATGTTTGTCAAAAATTGATTAATATGATGTCTGAATAAATTAGTGATGTTATAAAGCAAAAAGGAGGTTACACCTATTGGTAATTTTTTTAATTTTTATTTCATATAATTTAATTTATTTTATTTTTTATCGTTAATTTTTAATATTTAAATTTTTTTAAATTAATTTTTTAATTTATTATATTAAGATTTTTAAGTTTAATAAGGTTTATAAGGATTTGGCAGCTTTTATTTTTAAAAAAAAGATCTTTTAATTTTTTTTTTTAATTTTTTTAATTTTTTTATTACAAAGTTAATATTTTTAATTTTAATTTAATTGAATAAAAAATATTTGATATTTTTGATATATTTTAATTTGTATAATAACCAATTTATTATATTTATTAAATTAAAGTTTTAAAAATCAAAAAAAAAAAAATTTGATACTTACCGATACTTGAAAATAAATAGAATGTTAGTTAATTTAATTTATTATATTTAATTTTATATAAAATTTATATCAATAGATAGCCCAGATTCATGGCTTTAAAATGATAGTACTCACATAATTATATGATAAAATCACGTGAAATTAAATGATCAACAAAAATTTGTACTACTAACTTGCATTTCTTTTGTTGCCCACTGTATTATTAAATACAATTCTAGCAAATTTTTAGAATCAAGTTTTAATAAAACTTTTTTTATTTATTAAAAAATAAATCAGCAGTATAATTTATATTAGAAAGATCTAAAATTATATAATAAATAATTAATATTTTATAATATTTTTAAAATTTTTTAAAAAATAAATATTACTTATTCATGGTTAATATAGTATTTCTTTTTTTATTTTAGCTTTCATTTCATTAACTTTTTTTTTTTAGGTTTCGACCTATTAGAAAAATAACAAACTGATTAGTATTTTTACTTTTTAGTTAGTGTATTTCATTACAATTTCATTTAAATCTTATACTTTCTTTTTTTTATTTAAGTTTCATTCAGTTAACAAAGTTAGTTTCATTTTGTTTTATTTTGGTATTGTTTTGTTACATTCTGCCAATGAACTTACCTTTTTTTTTCTTTAAGTTTGTTTAGTCTACTAGAAATAGAAAAATAAAAAGGTTAGTTCTTTTTTTACTCTAGTTATTGTTTCATATTTTCATTGCATTTTATCATATTAACTTACCCTTAGATTTCAGATAAAAGATAAGAGGTGAGTTACTATTTTTTGTCTTATTTTTTTTTATCCTTCATTTTGTTTACTAACTCACTTTTTTTTCTTAGATTTTAGCATTTTAGTCAGATCTATTGAAAGAGACGAGAAGTAAATTTTTATTATATTTTATTTTTTTATTCTCATTTTATTTACTAACATATATTTTTCTTTTTAAACTTCAGATAGTTTTTGGAAGGATGAAAGGCATCACTAATATTGTATCATAAATTATCTATATATATAGGAGTTATCCACAGATTATTCGCGAATTATCTATAAAAACTATTTATTCAAGAATACTATCTAAAATAGTAAAATGAGTATCTGCAATCTATTATCCATATGAATATATAGATAATAGATACACAGATCCAAATTGCAATCTATTATCCATATGAATACATGGATAATAGATATACAGATCCAAACTCTATATAAGCTAAATATGATTTTTAGGCTGAAATATGTTCAAATTTAACATTAACTTATTTTTGATTTTTTGGCAGTTTTTCCCTTTTTAGTGTAAAGGCTAAAGATGGACATCATAATTAAGAAGTTGCAACTCGGTAAGTTGCAACTTGGTTGCAACTTTTTGTAAATTTATTTTAATATAAAAATTCATTAATAGTTGCAACTCAAAGTGTTGCAACTTAAGTTGCAACTAGTTAAAAATTTTAAAAATAATTATGAGAATCATCTTTAGAAAAGGCCCTATATATTTAATCTGTAAATTAATTAAACTCATAATTTTATATGTTATAAAATTAGATTATATTAAATATATAAAAGGTTTACTAGAAAAATAGAACTTTAAGAAATTTTTAATAAAATTTTAATTTTATTATTTTAATTTTAATAATATTAGATTAAAATGTAATAAAATTATAAATTTTCAGAGTTTTATTTTTCTAGCAAACCTCTAATATATTTAATTTTAACCTAATTTGAATTACTCGATTATAAGATATTCAATAATAATAAGGGGCATGCCAGAAATCAGCTAATTTAAAAGGGGGGTGGGGGTCGGTCTTTATATCAGGTGGTTATAGTCATGTGATATACCTAATGTAAAATGATTGGTCAGTTCAATTTAGCTAGAAATGTTGGCAAAAATCACATGCCAAATACAATTGTAATAAAATGATTGGTCAGAATCATAATATTCACATGCCGAATGCAATCAAAAAAGCAAGCATTTTATTAATTTTATTATTTTATTCAATTTCTATATTTTATCATGACACGACGGAGCCACATAATATGTAAGTGTCCGACGTTATTACATCATCACATAAAACTAATATAAAGCTAACTTTTTTCTTCTTTTTTTTAATCTTCGTCTGACTGAACTTTGAGAGAATCCCGTTTAACTTGTCCTATACTTTTGCTTTGAACTATATCTTTAGCGACGTTAAAATTTAGATTGAATGGAATAAGCACACAACCCATTTCTGTCTTATTAGTAAGGCTTTTTGATTTCTTATTGCGACATCTAGAATGTACACTACGCTTATGGTCACTTATGAACTTGAGGGTCGGAAAGTATTTGCCACATATGCTACAACATAAACGCTGATGTAATTCTCGTGAAATTGAAGGGCAACAGCTATCGTACTTTAGAATTTTGAGTTTATCGTGATATTGAAGAGTGTGAATTGGGTTGATGAAGTGACCATCTTTTCCTTTCGTAGTTGGAAGAAGGAATCCATTATTCTCATTTAAAAGGATGGCAGCAGCTGGAGTTCTGTATATACTACAACATTCATTATTTTTACATTTTCTTATATCCAGTAAATAGCGGCACATTTGCATATGATCCTCAATCCACTCCCGCGATATTGAAGGCTTAGGATCATTGAATGGATGTCTCTCCTGGTTGACATATTCCACTATCACAGGTTTCCCATGTATGTCATCCCTTTTTCATATATCATGTAGTTTTTTTCCCGAATATTCGAAATTCTGTCGTGCTAACACTTCATCTACTACTTTCCCTTGACTATTTAGATGTGATCTAAATTCCCCCACAGGTAGAGTGATACCAGCAAGTTTTGTGAACAAAGAAGCCATACTGCGTTTGACTGGATTATACACACTTTGACCGGAGCATGAGTACGAATCATCAAGTAGTCCAGATCAAGAGCACGGAAAAGGTGAGCATATTGAATAATATTTTTCATATGCTTCAGGTTTTCATCAGGTCCACCATCAACAAGAAGAATCCAAATAGGTCTAACTTTGCCTTCTTTCTTTAGGGTAGTGGAAAACTCTTCATTCGAAATGATACTTTCTAAATCTACTATAAAGGTTGTTGATGAAGTTCCAATGAAATATTCTGGCCTAATGAATATGAAAAGCTGACCAGTACGAAGGGTATTACTCGAATCAGCTGGATTAAGGACTAAATAAACAGAACGTATGAGTTTCATTTTTGAACCAGTTGTGAAATCGTGATCTTCGACAGTTACTGGTTAATTAACTGACTGGATTGTTTTGAATGTGTGACCAACTGTGGGAATGCCCAATCCGACCTTTGCCTTGTCATCCTGAGAGATGATAATCATCTTCTCAGCAAAAACTTCAGCAAATACTCTTGCGGCTTTGACGGAAGCTAGACAGTAATGTTCATCGATATGAGGTTTCATTTCTGTCCATGATACGGAGGCGAGACCAACCTTTGTTGGATGATGATGACGATGTGCAGCAAAGGTGTGTTAGTTTTGGGGTTGAAGATAAGTTGATAAGCATTAACGAGATAGATAAGTATTATATTTTTCTTCTAGAGTTTCGCGTAAATGCTTCACAGTCCTAACTTTTATGACTACTTTTCTTCATTTTGTATGAGCAGCTCCAAACTCAACACTGTCATAGATTTTATCCCATAGATCTGGATCCTTCATAGCTGCGGATGGTCTTCCTGAAGTATCATATTTTTTTACAATACCCTCTTCTAGCAATTTCTGTTTTTTTGTTGCTAGTCTTGATTGGGATTCAGCATGACGTTTCAGTTTTGTTAACTGTGCATTTTGTATTGATATATTTTTTTGTTCTTCAATTATCTTAGACGATAACAAAACTTTCATTGAGTCATCTGTAGCGATCTCCTTCATTCGTTGATATTCAGCTAGGCTTTTTGCAGCTGAATTGATCTTTTCAGCTGCAATATGTTGTGATT